AAATTCCAATGTCAAGCTCACATAAATGATAACGGTATTAATTAGTATTAACGTAATAACAAATATATTAAGCAATAACATTAAATAATAGAGATTACATTAATCAAACTTCTCCGATGTACAAACCTCGTCAAATGTGACAATAAGTTTAATCATTAAATATATTATGGAACTAAAGATTTACCAATATATTTAATGAGCCAAATAAGCACTACTTAATTATATTTGTTAATATTTGTTTTATTTTGAGTAAAACCATCAAGGGTACAAATAAATGGAATCTTACTGTTGACAGTTTGTAGGAATGACATGATATTTAATTTTGTGGTATTTAGAGTCAAACAATATTCCACGACTTTAAACCATTCAAGCAATTAATGCACAAACAATTAAAGTCTTGAAGTTTAGATGATTTTGCCATTCAATAAAAATATCACTTAATTGACACTTAATTAACGTGAAACAAAAATTATTGGAAAAATGGACAATAAATGCTTAACAAAAATGCATAATTAGAATGGTTTGTAATATTTTTAAAGATTGGCGATGATAAAAATGATTTTGTAACAAACTAATTATTGTGAGATAGAGTAGATTGCTAAATTGCTACGACATGAGGCAACAATTTATATATCATCTAGTTATTAGATTATACAATAATACAAAATTTCATACCAATACCAAGAAACAAGTGTTCAATAATAACATATATCTAATCATTGAATGTTATTTGTTATAAGAATACCGTATTTTTACATTTAACTCCTAGCATTTTATTATTAATTTTGCACAAATATTAATATGACAATTTAAAATAATATGTTTGAATAAATAACTAATTAATTACAGAAGTTATAGTAATTAGTTCAAAAATATACAAATAATATAAAAATCACTTGTTTCAATTTTATTAATTAGTATTTAAAAATTATGTAACTTTAAGTTAAGATGTGTATGACATGTTTGAAAGTCTTAATGTGTGATATGAGGGTAAATGTAATTGACAGAAAAATATAAAAGTTTTAATTTCAAGTTTAATATTGATAATAATGACAAAATTATTATTGGAAATCTTTGTTTTGAATCCGCCTTTAATTTCTCGGCACTTTTAATATAAATCCCTCCCAAAAAGGATATGAATTATGTATTTAAATAAGTTTTTCTCGAATTCAATCCTCACTTTTTATTTGTCAAAGAGTTTGACATAAAATGGCAAAAATGGGAGTTTTGCTGCTTTCAGCACTTGTGCTGATATTTGTGACCGGTCTCGACGCCGTCGCCAAAAGAGGTATGAGTTTAGGCATACATTTATTTAAAACAGAAAAATAATAATTGTTATCATAGATCACAACGACTATACCAAAAACCCGCACCCAATTGTGTGCTACTTTGGCAGTTGGTCACACTACCATAAGGCCGAACCATTTGAAATTGAAGATGTTGACTACGAGTTATGCACTCATATTAACTATGGTTTTGCTAAAATCGATGAATACAACTACACTTTGTTGATGTTTGATCCGTGGCTGGAGGAACATTTTGGTCAGTATAATGTTATATAATTAGTGTGTATTTCAACTAATAATCAATTGCTGTCTTCAGAGGCGTACAAGAGATTCATTGACCTGAAGAAGAAGAATCCACACTTAACGACAATGATATCATTGGGCGGTTGGTATGAGGGGTCAGAGAAGTACTCAGATATGGTTACCAACTCTGAAATGAGACAGAGATTTGTCAAACTTGCGGTTGAATTCTTAATCAAATACGACTTCGATGGCCTGGACTTGG